TGTTTTGATAACCTGACTAATCTCTGTGAGGGTGTTGCAGTGATTGCTAGTTTGGTAATTTTTTTTTCTTTTTTCATAACTGATATTTATTTATTTATTTTTTCTTTAATTAATTTTAAAGAACGTTTACAGAGACTTAGGGCTTCCAGTCATTCATTGTTGTGCTTTTCTTCCTTCCCACTTCCTCCCGGCCCCAATTCACTCTTCTTGAAAAAAAAAGAAAAACTCTTTCATTGTTATGCAATCCCCCCCACCCCCCAAGTCCCTCCACTATTCAGCTTTCACTCTGGACTTTGGTAATTCTTAAATGTTTCACCTGATGGGTGTGACAGAGGATGGAGGTGGATGTGCAGTGCTTTGGACAAAGCAGTTGAAGGCAGGCTGGGTTAGTGTTGGTTGCTGTCTTTTCACTGATCACAAGTGGAGCAGGTGCTGCTCTTCAGTCTTTCCCGGTAGTTAAAGCTACAGGGGATGAATGTGTGGCCACTGTTGCTGTCAGAAGGGACACAAATAGAGGAATAAATCCAGAGTCTAACGAACAGAAAATACCATCAAAACTCAAAGAAAACAGAAAAATAAAAACTGAGGGGGATACAAAATGGAGAATCTGAATAGAAAAGAAAATGCATAAGAAAAGATAGGATTGGAGGTAGTGAAAAAAACCTGCAAGGGTATGGAAGAAAGCTAGATAGAGGAGGAAAAAAAATCCCACACAAGAAGAGCAAAATAGAAAACAAGTAAACAATCCAAAAAGCCTTGGAATATCAAAGATGAGAGAGAAAGAAAGGGGGTTTGTTAGAGGGGTGAACCGAGCACCTAATTGTCGTTCTACTACTGTGGTGAGTGAAGATAGTATGTCTGACCTGGGATAGTATAACTGCCAGGACAGTGAAAGGTTGGGGTTAGGGTACCCAGTGGAATCGGTCTCTGCCCATCTGAAAGGGGGTTTGAGGCCCCACGATGTGAGCCAAATCAAGAGTATTACCCTTCTGGTCTTTGGTATGTGTAGGGTTGGGCACCCAGCCTGTGACAGAGTTTCTGCTGTCAGATATTTAGAGGAATATCGGATGGTTCCACTGGCTACGGATTATGCCTTTGCAGACAGGTTTACCCAGTCAGTGATAGTCATTACTGGCCTGAAATCTCCAAGGATGGTGTTCTCCAAGAAGGGTGCACTGCTTCAAGTACACACATGGTGTATATGGTTGGCAAGGATGTATTCCATGCAAGGGTTATGCTCCATGAAAAGCAAGGACCCCAAGCAGAGCGGTACCCCTGCTGTCATTTCGAAGGTTGAGTGCATACCAGAGAGAGCACAGTCCACCAGCTCCCAGGGCTAGACTTTTGAGTGCAGAGCTGTGAACTCTTCTATCAGGTGGTGGCTGGATTGACAGGGAAATGCTGCCAGCCACGTGGTGAGTGGCATTTGGGGGAAAGTCACTATACCAGTCTCTCAGGGCATAGGCCAAGCTGTGTCATTTACAGGTTTTTGCTTTGTCTGTGTCCTTATTCTGAGCTTTCCTTTGGATTTTTCCTTTAGTCACTGTTTGAAGTACTTGTCTTTTCTTTTTCATGTATATATATTAATCTTTTTTTTTTCTTGTATCTTTAGTGAAGAGGCCTATCTATCTAGTGTGAACATACCTGGAAGTCTATTTGTACCATTTATAAAGTTCTTATGTTACATTGCGGTGACTCATTTGTATTTGTGATTCTTTTTTCCTTAGTTGTTTTTTGAGGAAAGCTTACAAACAGTTGATTTTCCAGTCAACCATTCTTGCACATTTTATGACACTAATTACAATACCTACAATGTAACTGTACTCTTCCCCATTCTCATTGTGATACTTGTTTTCATTAATCCTTCTCTTCTGCCCCTTCCTGCCTTCTGAGCTTTATCCTTGGGTGGAGGCTGCCCTTTAGACCTTATACTGTGGGGTGTTGTAAGGAGTGTTACTGTTTCTGGTGTTAATGTTCACCTTATAGGCCTGTCTTGTTTAGCTGAAAGCTCAGCCACAGGCATGAATTTTGTGCCATTTTTGAAGGGTGATTAAGAGCTTAGTCTTGGAGGCTTCACCAATTTCTGCTAGATGCCCTTTTAGTCCTGGATGGTTGGTTGATCTAAGGAGTGAGTGCCTCTCTGATGTTATTAATTCACTCTGTCGACCTGTGTGTTGTTTTGAGAGTTGAGCCAGAGAGAGAAATCTGCTTTGTTCCAGGTTTAACGGGTGACTTATTTCAGTGGTAGTCAAGCAGAGAATCTTCATCAGAATTACTCGAGAGCCTTTATAAAAATACACATTTGAACCTCTAAGAAATTCTGAGTCAATAGATCTAGGATGGGGCTTGAAAGTTCTTAAAAGCTCTCCGTGATTCTAATTTATATCCCTTGGAGATATGATACCTGGTTTATATATTAGTGCCTCCATTTAATTAAAAAGAACAAACATTTGTTAGTTGTAGGCATAACTACAGCTACTCTTTCTCCTTATTGCCATCCAATTGCTTATAGCTGACTCTCCAATGCGTTTCTGAGGCTGTAAACCACCTGGGAGCTGTTGGTGAATTTGAACCAGCCTGAGCGCAGCCCTATGGACTAAGCCATCAGAGCTCCCTAACAAGCACTGGGGTATTAGAAAAACGAAAGTTAGCCTGACAAAGAGCTGATATTGTTATATGTAATTTCTTTTGGGATTATAGAGATTTCGTGCAGTACTGAGAATTCAAGCAATCAGTGGTTATTTTTTTCTGAATGACTCAGTGACCGGCATTGTAAATCCTCTGTTTTTAACTTTTTTTAATACTAATGTATAATTTTTTAATTTTAAAATTCTCATACCATTGAGGACAGAGTAAATAAATTTATGAACTTTCAATAATATCTACTGCAAAGTGAATACTAATTGCTGTAATTTTCAAAACTTCTTATTAAAACTTGCATTGAGTTTTTCTTGTAGTTGAACACAATGTTTTTTTTTTATTATTTTATACTGGTTAACTTACAAAGTTCATAAAGATTTTATACATTGTCTTTCAAACCAGATCTTTCCGCTTTCCTGTATTCACCCTTCCCTTGTGTAGCCCTATGATTAAGCATCCCCAACCCCTTGAATTTTCATGCTTGTTCTACAATAATGGTCCTATGCAGTATTTGTCTTTATGAGACTGTGTTAGTTCACTCAGCATAATGCTCCCCAGTCCCACCCAAGTTACATAGTAATTTGTAAAATGATTGCTCGTGCATGCTGCATAGTATTCCATTATGTGAATGTACCATCTTTTCTCACTATTCCATTGTGGTTGGGCATTTTTCTTTTAGTGTATAAATTGAGCAACAATAACTTGGAGAAAGTTAAGTCTGACCACAGTTAAATCTATAAATGGGTACTGTCCCATCAGTAGTATTCATTGTACCAAAGTAGTAGCTACAAACTTAGACATGGCCCCATACACACACTTCTGCACCTTCTTCTACTAATCACTGGGACCAGTGTTTGTTGCATATTGATTCACAAACTTGACTTTACTCACAGCTGTGGAGTTTAATTAAGGAAACAGGTTGGGAGGTGGGGAAAGTAAAGGATATTGCACAGTGAAATTCAGATTTAGTTCATCAAATTCCTCAGTTAGGTCAGATAGCTTCTTAATAAGTGAAAGATTGAGGTTAATCCAGGAACACAAATGCAAGCAGTCTCTGGTTTCCTCAAACCAGATCTAATCGTCCAGCAAGTTTGTTTCATAGTACCCTCAAATCACCTTTCCCTTCATTTTTCCAGAAAGGAGAACCTTTAATTTTGACTCCATCTCCAGGGCTTCCATCAAACTACAACTCACCATGGTTTCTCCACTGTCTGGCCAGCTCTCTTTCTTATATTGGCCCCACAGCTATTGATAGAGGAGATGCTGATAAATAGTGAACTATATGTCTGCAGTTGAGGCAGCTGAAGACTACACCCCTAGAGGGAGCTAAGGCAGTGGCTAGAAAAGCCATTTTCAAAAAAAGTCATAATACCACAAATGACTATATGCATATAGACTATAGTTCTTCTACGTGGAATCATACCTGGCTGAAATTGAGTGTGCAACATAATGGTAATAGTGAGAAACTGAGAAGGGATCTATCAGTGGTTCTTTGTTTACACAAATTTATTTCTCTGTGAGCTTAGTTTTTTGACCTAAAAAGTATGTTTTTATGTTTCAGGATAAAATTATATGACACATGCGAAAAGCACATTGATTTCTTAAGGAGAGGGGTGCTACTTAAGTCCTAAGTGATTGGCATCTGTCCATTCCTCTTTAAATTCTTTATTTACTTCTTGATTTTAGAAGAATAGAATTTTTGTTAATTCAAACATCCTATTTATAAAGCTTATAATTACAAAGAATGTTGAAGTCTTAGTTTTTTTCTAGGTATACTGGTAGTTCAGTAATGGAATGATAGGAAATTAGATTAATTTGACCCATCTGTTGTAGAATTGCAACATACATGTGAGATAATTTTTATTGCTTAAGATAACTTATTTATTCCCAATATTTAAATGAGTTGTGCTGAAAACTGTTGTTACCATAGTTCGTTTGTGTACATGAACTTATTATTTCCAGCTACTATTTAATTTGATTGCTTGTTGTAAGTTTTTAAACCTTTACTGCAAATGAAATCTTATTCAGACTATAAAAGATAATGTGTCTTTGTTTAAATAGAGTGTTAAAGAGTTTTAAAGGTAGTTCCTCTCATGCTTGGTCATCTCCTGCCTTGCTGTAGTGGTAAAAGTGAAGAAACTAAGTTTTACAATGATTAAATAAAATCAGTAATAGGGCTGGGCATAACTCAGATCTTTGATATCAAATCTGTCCAGTAGTATCCTTGCTACTATGAATGGTTGCAATGTAATAACATTTATGTGTTCTTATCATTTGTTAAATGTAAGAGATTGTTTTGAAACCATTGTGTTTTGTTTTTCAAAGTGATGCTAAATGAAATTAATAAATTTGTTTTCTAGACTCACTTTATTAGTGCTGCACTCAAGTCTGGTAGTTTTGAGCCTGCTGCTATATCCCCTTCCAGAGTTTTGGAGAAGAATTCTGTAAAACTAGAATATCCTAATCTTGGTAGCAATACTGTATCTTCATCAAATGTATTCACTTTCAAACAAGGTAAATATATAATCTTCTATAAGTCATGTATGAATTTTTGTACATTAAAAGCTTAAAATTTGTTCACTAGGTTTTTGGAGATTGTTATTGTTTTTTGTGTACCATTGAGTTGGAACCCAGCTCACAGCTGACCCTCCAGTGGATTTTCAGAGGCTGTAAATCTCATGGGAAGAAATTGCCTGTCTTTCTCCTGCAGAGCACCTGGTAGATTCAAACAGAGGGCCTTTGGGTTGATAGTGCAGTTCACTAGGCCACCAGGGCATTCATTAATTATTAGGTAAATTTAAAATGTGCTCAGGCACATTCAAGATTATGAATCATATCCTAATTTATAGTTTCAACTAATAACCTTCAATAAAACTGGTAGTTTTTATTTTATATTCTAGCAATGATAAATTTAGAAAAGCTTTGGTTATCTTTTATGTAAAATAGAGAGCTTTACTAGCCTAATGGATAAGGAATTCAAAATCCAAAGCAGGCAGTTCAAATCCACCAGCTTTTACAAGGAAGGAAAAAAAAAGGGCAACTCCTGTGTGATTTACAGCTTCTTGGAATCTGCTGGATGGTCAGCTATATGTTAGTTCTTACTAGTTTACAATGAGTCTGAGCTTCTTTGTTTTCTGTTTTGAGTATCAAAATTTTATAATAATTTTTTAGTTCTGAAAAATTGCATGTTCATATTTTTCTTGATTTTTGTCAAGAGTGAAGCTATCTAATAACAATTACAAACTATTAGAAACAGTTACAAACTGTTTCTATTTTCAAAGAGTTAATGAAAGTATATCTTAACAAATATTTGGAATTTAAAATATTTCAAGATAAATTAAGACTCTTGATATTTATTTGGATAATGAATTTTAAAATATGGAGTCTGTCCCTTTAATAGGAAGCTTTGATGGCTTAGTGGTAAGAAATTGCACTGTTAGTGCAAAGTATCCACCACCAGCTGCCCCGGGGAAAAAGATGGCTATTCAACTTCCATGTGATTTATTGCCTCTGAAAACCCACTGGAGGGTCAGCTATTGGTCGGTTCTGACTTGATGGTAAACAACAACAACAACAACAACAACATTCCTTTAGCGATACAATGATCCATATACTATAGTCTCCCCACTTTTTACTTGTTAGAACCTTGTAGTTCCTTTATTGTTATAAGATGTTTTTATATTGGGCAGCAAAAGAGTGATCTTAAAAAACAATAGAGAAGTAAGTGTAAGTCAATTTTTAGGATGTAAAGGAAAGAAAATGAAGGTCTGTAAAGTTATGACTTGTTTGCTTAAATTGACCTTGCATAAAAATAGATATATGGGAATTAGAGCCAGAACTCTGGTTTCAATATGAGCAAACAGTATCCCTTTTTTATAGAAGTGGACACTTGCTTCATACTCATACCCGGAGAAAAATCTTCTCTGAATTTTTAAATATTTCTGTGTCTAACTGCTCATGCTAATGCGAAACCTATACTTGGACCAAGAGGCAGTCGTCAGAACAGAGCAGGGCAACACTGAATGGTTCAAAATTGGGAAGGGTGTGCACCAGGGATGTGTCCTATCTCCATACCTTTTCAACCTGTATGCAGAGCAGATTATCCGAGAGGCTGGGCTCTATGAGGAGACACGTGGTGTTAGGATTGGTGGAAGATCTATCAACAATCTGTGTTATGCAGATGACACAACCTTGCTCACTGAAACTGAGGAGGACCTCATGCACTTATTGCAGAGGGTCAAGAACTGCAGCCTTCAGTATGGACTGAGGCTCATTGTGAAGAAGACAAAAATTCTCACCACCGGACCAATTGGTAGATGGCGAAGAGATTGAGATTGTTCACAGCTTCAGTTTGCTCAGGTCCATACTCTTGGCACCAGCAGTCAGGAAATCAAAAAACGTATTGCGATGGGAAAGTCTGCTGTTAGGGACCTCTCTAAAGTACTCAAGAGCAACAGTGTCTCTTTGGAGATGAAGGTGCGCCTGATACAGGCCATGGTCTTTGCAATCACTCGTTATGCATAAGAGAGCTGGACAGTGACTAGGGAGGACAGAAGGAGAATTGACGCCTTTGAGCTGTGGTGCTGGAGAAGAGTATTGAATGTACCATGGACTGCTAAGAAAACAAACAGATTCATCCTAGAGAGGGTTAAACCAGGCTGCTCCTTGGAGGCATAGATTCTGGGGCTTCGTCTGACATACTTTGGACATGTTGCAAGGAGAGACAGGTCTTTGGAGAGGGACATCATGCTGGGTAGAGTAGAGGGACAGCGCAGAGGGGAAGACCCTCTATGAGGTGGATTGATTCAGTGACTGGGGTAATTGGGATGGGTGTGTCAGAGGCAATGTGATTGGCACAGGATAGAGCGGGGTTTAGGGCTGTTGTACATAGGGTCGCTATGAGTCGCAAACAACTTGACGGCACATAACAACAACAACAAGAACAACAACTGCTGAAGATCATTTAAAGTGACTTGAGCAGTACACAGAGAGTGAAATTCCAGAAGTTCAAGCTGCATTTTAAAGAGGCTGTGGCACCAGAGGTTTCACTGCTGATGTCACATGGATTCTGGCTGAAAGCAAATAATACCAGAAGAATGTCTGTCTGTGCTTTATAGACTGTGCAAAGGATTTGACTGTGTGGATTGTAACAAATTTTGGCTAAAACTGAGAAGAATGGGAATCCCAGAATGCTTCATTGTGCTCATATGAAACCTATATATACCTAGACCAAGAGGCTGTTGTGCGAACAGATCAAGGGAACCTATTCTTTCTTAAGAAAGGCATGCGCCTGGGTTATAACTTTTCTCGATATCTATTCAGTCTGTATGCTGAGCAAATTATTCAAGAAGCTGTCCTCTGTGAAGAAGAATGTGACATCAGGATTGGAGAAAGACTCATCAGTAACCTTCTGTAGGCAGATAATATAACCTTGCTTGCTGAAAGTGAGGAGGACTTGAAGCATTTATTGCAGAAGATCAAAGACTTTAATGTGCAGTCTTTAATATGGATTGCATCTCAATGTCAAGAAAACAAAAATTCTTACCACTGGACTGATAGGCAACATCATGAGAGAAAAGATTAAAGCTATCAATGACATCATCATACATGGATCCACAATCAGTATGCTTGGGACCAGTCAAGTTATCAGGAGACATATTTCACTGGGAAAATCTTCAGTCTGGGATTTCTCTAAATTATTGGGGAGTAATGATGTTAGTTGGAGGACTAAGGTACACCCAATTCCTACTGTGGTTTTTTAATCACTATGCATCTGAGAGCTATATAATAAATAAGGAAGACAGAAAAAAAATAAGGAAGATGGAAGAATTGATGACTTTGAACTGTGGTGTTGGAGAAGAGTACTGAATATCCCATGGACTGCCAAAAGAACAGATATATGTTGGTGTCACTACAGCCACAGTGCTCCTTGAAAGTGAGGATGGTAAAGCTTTATCTAACATACTTTGAGCATGTTGGTAGGAGAAGCTGTGTATTCCTTGGAGAAGGACATCAGTCTTGGAAAGATAGAGAGGCAGTGAAGGAAAAGATAACACTCAACCAGGTGGATTTGACCCAGTGACTGCAGCAGTGGGCTTGATTGTGCCAGATTTTGATGATGGCACAGGATAGGACAGAGTTCATATCTGCTGTTTACAGGGTTGCTGTGAGTTGTACTTAACCTGATGGCATCTAACAACAATGTGTTTAAAAATAACTCAGGTGATATCTCTTGTTTTTACTTAACTGGCTATAATTTTTATTTTTAGGTTTTTGTTTTGAAGAAAATAAGATTGTATAATAAATTTGTTTCTCTATATGTTTTGGCAGTTCCTGTGGCTTTTTAGTTGTAGTAACAGAAATAGGGGATTGAAGCTCAACATCAAGAAAACAAAGATTCTCACCACTGGACCAATTGGCAGCATCAGGATGGATGGTGAAGAGATTGAGATAGTTAACAGTTTTCGTTTTCTTGGCTCCACAGTAAACACTCTTGGTAACAGCAGCCGGGAAATCAAGTGACAGATTGTACTGGGAAAGTCAGCTGTCAGGGACCTCTCCAGAGTACTGAAGAGCAGCAATATCAGCCTGGAGACTAAAGTGCGCCTGATCCGGGCTATAGTCTTTGCAGTTGCATGCTATGCATCAGAGTTGGACAGTGACTAGGGATGATAGAAAGAGAATTGATATCTTTGAGCTGTGGTGATGGAGAAGAATGTTGAGTATACTATGGACTGCTAGGAGAACAAACAGGTTTGTCCTGGAGAGGGTGAAGCTGGGCTGCTCCTTGGAGTCAAGGATTCTGAAGCTTCCTCTGACATACTTTGGGCATGTTACAAGGAGGGACTGGTCCTTGGAGAGGGTCATCGTGTTTGGGAGGGTGGAGGGACGGCACAGGAAAGAAAGACCCTCGATGAGATGGATCAGTTCTGTGATTGGGTGGTGGGAATGAGTGTGTCGGAGATGGTGAGGTTGGCACAGGATGGAGCAGGGTTTAGGGATGTTGTACATAGGGTCGCTATGAGTCATAGGTGACTCGACGGCATGTAACAACAGAAATAGGGAAAAATTAGTAAATTCAAAATGTAATATTTTTCTATTCTTTTAAGTTTGATTTATTATTATTATTATTAATAATTTTAATCAAAATTGACAGACTTTGGATTTCCATTCATTCATTGTTGCACGTTTCTCCCTGCCCACTACTCCCACACCCAGTTCATTCTTCTCTTTGAAAAGTAAAAGAAAATGTTTTTCATTGTTAGACAAATATGTCTTGGAGAGGGTGCAGCTGGAATGCTCTTCAGAGGCACCAATGATGAGGCTTCACCTCACATACTTTGGGCATATTGCCAGGAGGGGATATTCCTTGGAGAAGGACATGATGCTGGGAAGGGTAGAGGATCGGTAAAGGAGAGGAAGACCTTCAGCCAGTGGATTGACACAATGACTGCTGCGATGGGCTCTTGTGTATCAGGAAGTGTGAGGATGGCGCAGGATAGAACAGGGTTCAGATCATCTGTTCATAGGATCGCTATGAGTTGTACTTGACTCCACGGCACCTAACAACAACAACAACAGCAGCAATAACAATAGCAACCACAGCAGCATGGCTTTCTTCATTATTTTGCTTAAAAGAGCCCATTGAATATTTATTTCACAATTTAACTCACTATTATCTTCTTATTGGACGCTTGAGCAATTTTTAGGAATGAGTGTTTTGGTTTTTTAATTTATAAACTAGGCTCTAACAATTATTATCACCTTTTTAATGTTTTCCTTCTCTGAGGTAATTTTTTTTTTTTTTAGTATGAATGGCCAAGAGTTGTGTTTCTAGGTCAGAGTAGAAAAACAAAATTTACATTTTTTATGCTTATTGTCAGATAGTTTTATTCATTGCCATGAGCAGTATATGGCTCTGTCATTTTCATTACAGCTTCAATAGCCTGTGAATATTTATTTATATTTCTGTTTAGTAATTTAGAGTGTGAAATTTTTTTAAAATTTTCATTATTTTTTGTGTGTACCATTAAATCAGATCTGACTGATACAGGAGGAGATTGTTCCTCCTTCTCCAGCAGAGCATCTGGTGGATTCGAACCATGTACCTCTGAGATTGCAGTGCAGCTTCTTGCCACTAGGCCACCAGAGCTCGCCTAGAGTGTGAAATTTTGTGTGTATGTGAAATGTTCTTATAGTTTTAACTTCTAGTGATAATGAAATTATTTGTTAGTAAGTTATATGCTGTTTATATACTCTATAATTTTGGGGTGTTTTTATAGATTGGAAGAGTAATGTTTTTTAAAAGTTTTTAGAAATGAAATTGAAGGAAAGTATAGTTACATCAAAGGTATTACATAAACCATGTAATGAAAAATTTTATGAATATGTAAGAATAGTTGAAGGAAAACCAGTTTGCTTTGTAAATTTTCAAACAATTCCGTCTTCAAAAAGTTGAACTTTCTTATTTATATTCTTCTAAAGCACCTTCAGGAGAGGCTGAAAGTGCGGATTTTGATAAACAGAGATCTCCTTTGGAAACGCCAGCACCTCGAAGATTTGCTCCTATACCAGTTTCAAGGGATGGTAAAATAACAGTGAGGGAAAATCCCGTGGAAGAAAAAGAAAACAGGGAGATGTCAATTCAGAGAGGTAATAGAGCAGTTATAACACTCACTGATGCTATAATTTATAGCTCTCTATGTGTTAAACTAACTGAAATGAGATTGTTATTTTTAATGCTTAGTTGTTTCTTTCTTGATGATACAGAGCAAGTCAAACTTCTTTAGATCCTTTGTAGTAGCAATTGAAAGTATACATTTATAAAATGCTGATTAATCTCTTTTAACTGTGATTTTTTTTTTTTAAAGTTTACAAAAAGGTTGGGTTTTCATTCATTCACTGTTGCACATTTTTTCTCCCTCCTCTCCCTTCCCCTTTCCCCAGTCCACTTTGCAGTGGCCCTCATTTTCCAGATTGTTGTCAATCATATAATGCCTCATCATATATTCCTTTCAGGCAGTTCTTCCCCTTACCTTTTCCAGTGCAGTGTTAATATCTATCTTTTAATATTTTTAATTAAATACTCTTTTTCTATTCTATCAACCCCTCATTTCAGTCCTGTCTTGTAACAGCAGTGTTATGCAATATTTGTCGTTTTGTGACTGAGAGAATTTCACTCAGCACAATGTCTTTCAAGTTCCCCAGTGTTGTGTAATGTTTTAAAAGTTGTTTTTCAGTGCTGTGTAATATTCCATTGTATGAATGTACCATGATTTTGCTATCCCATTTGTTTGTTGATGGGCTCTTGGGTTGCTTCCATTTCTTTGCTTTTGTGAATAATGCAGCATTAAACATGGGTGTTCATACATCTGGTTGAGTCGTGGGCTCTGGTTACTTTAGGGTATATTCCTTGTAGTGGAATTGCTTGGTCAGATGGTATTTCTATTTTCAACTTTTTGAGATAGTGTCAGACTGCCTTCCATTGTGATTGCAGTATTTTACAGTTTAACCAGTGGTGAATAAGAATTCCAATCTCTCCACAACCTTTCCAGCATTTATTGTTTGCTGTTCTGCTGAACTTTGCTATTGTTGCTGGGGTCACATATGATCCTTGTAAATTCCTAGATGAAATTTCATAATAAAACTCTTAAGAAATTTAACATAGATCAATATGTTCCATTGGGGAAAATTGCAAATATATGAACCTATTAATAGGTTAATAACTTTTATAAATGACATGAAATAATAATATTTGCTGTACTTTTAGTTGCCATTGAGTTGACCTCCAATTCATGTCTACCCATGCCCAAAAGGATCATAGTTGGTGAGTCATAGGATTTTCAAAGGCTAATTTTTAAAAACTAATATAGCTTTTCGGCTTTTGGCTTGGAGGAGGCCTCGGTGCAACTTTCTTTGGTCGTCCCGCATCTGGGTTCATCCGACACCAGCCCCCTCCGCCATCCTGCCCAAGTTCGACCCCAGTGAGATTAAAGTCGTGTACCTGAGGTGTACCGGTGGGGAATTTGGTGCCACTTCCGCTCTGGCCCCCAAGATCGGCCCCCTGGGTCTGTCTCTGAAAAAGGCTGGTAATGACATTGCCAGGGCCACCCGTGACTGGAAGGGATTAAGGATTACAGTGAAATTGACCATTCAGAACAGACAGGCCAGATTGAAGTGGTACCTCCTGCCTCTGCCCTGATCATCAAAGCCCTAAAGGAACCACCCAGAGACAGAAAGAAGCAGAAAAATATTAAGCACAGTGGAAATATCACTTTTGTTGAGATTGTTGGCATTGCCCGGCAGATGCGACACCGGTCTTTAGCCAGAGAACTCTCTGGAACTATTAAAGAGATTCTGGGAACTGCCCAATCTGTGGGCTGCAATGTTGATGGCCGTCACCCTCATGACATCATAGAAGACATCAACAGTGGTGCTGTGGAATGCCCAGCTAGCTAAGGAACTACAGATGAAAAGATTTCAATAAAGGCTCATTTGTTAACAAAAAACAAAACAAACAAAACCACCAAAAACGAATTTAGCTAGTGTTTTTTCTTAGTTTATCATAACATGGAAGGTTCTCTTAACATTTAATTCAGCATTATAGGAACCACATAAGCCTCCAGTGACAAAGTAGTCACTGCTCTTGAGCTCACCTAATATAAACAAAGAGTTGTAAAACAGGACTGACATGGGGGTTTGGAGGGAAACTGCGAAAAGAGGGAATAGATAATGAACACGGCATTGAAACAGATGAAGGAAAGAACTATTTAAACAGAATATGTGATTCGGCGTTATTTGTGTAACAACAGGTGCATTGTACAGTGGACTGGGTTGGGGAAGGGAGGAAAATGTCTTAACAATGAGGGAATAAAAATCCAACTTTTCTGTTAACTTTAGTTAAAAATCACAATTTTAAAAATAAAAGTAAATAAATTTGTTAAGCCATAAGCTTTGATTCTTAGACTATTTTAAATGCATTCAGGTCTCAGATTGGAATGTTTTCAGAATTTTAAGGAATTAAAAGATAAAAATGAAAAAAAAAAAAAAGATAAAAATGTTTAATATGCAAAGGGCCCTTACTGCTTATACCCTTGAAAATGTGCATTCTTATTAAAGATAAAAGTTAAGATCTAGTTAATAATTACTGTGAAGAAACAAATCTCCTTTCTGCTAATTTATAAATGTAGTCTAATATGCTGTGTGTGTCATGAAGATATTTCTCGTTCATATTTTTCTGGTGATGGAAATAAACTGAGCCCTAAATTTTCCAGTATAATTTTTGTGAAAGTTAAAAACAATATTGGATCTATTTGATAAGTGTCTTGATAGCCTGCATTTTTTGAGTATGTGATCCTGAGAGACCAATACAGACCAGAGGATGGCACAGTTTTACTTTGACACACATGAGGTTGTCATCAGTTGGTACTGGGACATATATCACAAGTATGTGTGAGGTAGTATATAAAAGAAAAAAATAGTACATGGGAAATAATACTATATTTCTTCTGTTGTAGGAGATGTAAGACTGTTGGAACAAATTCTAAATAGTCAAGATCCCCTTATAAAACAAAATGAAACTCCAGACAAAGCTTTACTAACGATGTCAAAGATGGGATGGAATTGTGAGAGGAAAGACAGGTAAAATCAAAGATTTGCATGAAAATGAGATTGAAAAGAGTTTTGGTCTTATTTCAATGAATTTTTTAAAAATGTAGTAAATGATATTTCTTTTTCCAATATGGTTGGTTTAGTGTTTCTTGCTGCTGATAGATTGATTTTTCTCAAAATGCAAATTACTAATTTCTTATAAATATGAGATTTACTTTAAAAATCAAATGCAGGGTAGGGAGAAGAGGAAATGAGTATAGGTGAAATGAAGATAGCTATGAGCTAATAATTATTGCAGTTAAAAATGAGATACTAAAAAGAAAAAGGAATATTCTTGAATGTGTCAGAAATTGTGAGGATGGTGCAGGATAAGAAAGTTCAGATCTCTTGTTCATAGACTCACGTTTGTCATACTTGATTTTGTGGCTCCTAGCAAAAACAACAACAACAACAGATAACATGGAGATTTAGTTATACTCTTCTAGTTTTGTGTATGTTTGAAATTTTTCTTAATAAAAAATTCTTAAAAAGCAAATCAACATTCTAGTGTCTTCTTGTTATGTGCCGTTGAGTCGCTTGTGATTCATAGCAATCCTATGTACAACAGCCCTAATCTCTGCTCTGTCCTGTGCCAATCGCACTGCCTCTGACACACCCATCCCGATTACCCCAGTCACTGAATCAATCCACCTCACAGAGGGCCTTCCCCTCCTGCGCTGTCCCTCCACCCTAACAAGCATGATGTCCCTTTCCAAGGACCTGTCCCTCCTTACAGCATGTCCTAAGTATGTCAGATGAAGCCCCAGAATCCTTTCCTCCAAGGAGCAGCCCTGTTTAACCCTCTCTAGGATGAATTTGTTTGTTTTCTTAGCAGTCCATGGTACATTCAGTACTCTTATCCAGCACCACAGCTCAAAGGCATCAATTCTCCTTCTACGCTTCCTAGTCATTGTCGAACTCTCTGATGCATAACAAGTGATTGCAAAGACCATGGCCTGTATCAGATGCACCTTCGTCTCCAGAGAGACACCATTGCTCTTCAGTACTTTGGTCCCTACCAGCAGACTTTCCCATTGCAGTACCTCTTTGGCTGCTGGTGCCAAGAGTGTTGACTGTAGAGTGAAGCAAGCTAACACTGTGAACAATCTCAGTCTCTTCACCATCCATCCTGATGCTGCCAATTGGTCCAGTGGTGAGAATCTTTGTCTTCTTGACATTCAGCCTCAATCCATATTGAAGTCTGCAGTCCTTGACCCTCTGCAGCAAGCATTTCAGGTCCTCCTCAGTTTCAGCAAGCAGGGTTGTGTCATCTGCATAACGCAGATTGTTGATAGATCTTCCACCAATCCTGACCCCACACTTCTCATAGAGCCCAGCCTCCCGGATAATCTGTTCTGCATAAAGGTTGAAAAGATGTGGAGACAGGACACATCCCTGGCGTATGACTTTCCCAATTTTGAACCATGTAGTGTTTCCTTACTCTGTTCTGACGACTGCCTCTTGGTCCAAGTATAGGTTTCTCATTACCATGATCAAGTGTTCTGAGATTCCTATTCTTCTCAGAGTCAGCCACAGTTTGTTATGAGTCCACACAATCAAATGCCTTTGCATAGTCAATGAAACACAGGTAGGCATTCCTCTGGTATTCCCTGCTTTCTGCCAAGATCCATCTAACATTAGCTACAATGTCCCTGGTACCATGACCCCTTCTAAACCCAGCCTGGACTTCCAGCAGTTCTCTGCTGATGTGCTGTTCCAGTTGTTTTTGGATGATCTTCAGTAGAATCTTGCATGTGAAAGAAATTATATTGTTCTATAGTTTCCACACTCTGTTGGGTCACCCTTCTTTGGAATGGGAAGAAATAATAGATCTCTTCCAGTCAGTTGGCCAAGTGGTTGTTCTCCAGATTTCTTCGCACAGCTTGGTGAGCACATCCAGGGCAGCATCTGTTAGCTGTACTACGTCAATTGGTATACCATCTATTCCTGGAGCCTTATTCTTTGCTATTTCCTTCAAAGCAGCTTGAACGTCTTCCTTCATCACCATAGGCTCTTTCTTGCTCATATGTTGTTTCATTAGATTGTTCTGTGTCTGCCAATTCCTTTTGACAGTGACTCAGTATATTCTTTCCATCTTCTTTTAATACTTCCTGGATCATTTAATATTCTACCTAAAGCATCCTTGATTATAGCAACTCGCGATTTGAATTTGTTCTTCAGTTCCTTGAGCTTAAGAAATGCTGAGCGAGTTTGGCCCTTTTGATTTTTTAGTGTCTTTGCATGAAAATTATAGTAATAACATTCCAGAGCAGTAAATTCATATAAAGACATAAAATTTTAATCTTTTTCAATTTACTGTAATTTCTGATAAGGTAGGATTTATATTTGCCACAGTCCATAATAACAACAACTATAATTTAAAACAAGGTTGTTCAGCTTAACACCAATTTAATTTCAGCATTTTGGAAGCTTTTCTCCAGTATAATTTTTTCACCTTTATTTTGTTATAATTCTCATGTAAGGTGTACCTTTGTACAGTTTGTATCAAAGCAATTTATAATTACCGTTTTATGCAGTTATATTTCAAGTTAGATATTGTTGTGTACTGTTAAGTTAGAACTGACCCAGAAGTGACCCTCCTGCAGTTTTAAGAGGTGGTAAATTGAATGGGAGCAGATTGCCCATTCTTTCTATACTATTCCCCCCCCCCCAGTGCTGTCTTTTTTTTTAATTTTAATTTGATATTTTCTTGCTTGCAGAATTCTTATACATTGTGTTTCCCACTTTCCTTTATTGACATTGTGCTTTATATAATCATTCCCTTTTATATTTTATAAAATTAATCATCATTATACTATGTCCACCATTACCCTGTCTTTTCAGATCTCTGCCAGATCATTCCTATTCCCTACCTCCCCCCACCAAATTGTGCGACCCTGTGATTTGTAGTTGTTGATTGCCTTCAAGTTGAGCACAACTCATAGCAACCCTATGAACAAAAGGCCTGAAGCCTTTCTATAACTATCGACATTTATCAAAGTTCATAGAGTTTCTGGAGGCATGTTGTTTAGGAAATGAATGCCACTCTGACTTCCTTATCCCCTTCCAATTCTTATCCCTCTGCTCCCACCCTCCCCCACTTGGATCCTCATACACGTTTTACTAATTATCTATTTCTACAATAGTGTTCTTATGTAGTAATTATCCTTATGAGACTGAGGTAGTTCACTCAACATAATGCTCTCCAGTCTTTCCCAAGTTATGTAGTAATTTTTGAAATCATTACTCCTTAGTGCTGTAGTATTCCATCGTGTGAATGTTTTACAAATTCACGATATGTTTGATTGTGGATGGACATTTGGGCTGCTCTGGACATTTGGTCTGTTTCTGTGTTCTTAAAATAATAAATAATGCTCCTAGAACGTTGGTATACAAATCTCCCTTGGTGTCTCAATTCTAAATTTCTTGGAGTATATTATCAGCAGTAAAATATCTTAGTCATATGGAATTTCTACATTCAGCTTTTTTAGGAAACTCGAAACTGCCTTCCAGAGTGTTTGTACCATTTTACAATTCCTCTAACAGTGTACGAGAGTTCCTGTTTCTCTGTGTCCTCTCCAGAATTTATTACTTGCTCTCCTGTTAAACTTTGCTACTACTAGGGGATGAGGTGGTATCTCATTGTGATTTTGATATCTATCTCTCTTATTACCAGTGATTTTGAGCATTTCTTCATGTGTTTGTTGGTCATCTGAATGTCTTCTTCTGTGAAAATTCTTTCTCTGTGATTTGTCCATTTTTTAATTGAGTTATCAGTCTTTTTCTTCTGGAGGCCCAGGAGTACTCTTGTAAACTTTTGTTATGAGACCCTTTCCTGAGGTGGCATTGCTAAATGGTTTACTATGTTAGGGATGAAAAGGTGAGAAAAACTGGGGTTGGTTTCATAATGAAAAAAGTCATTTCTAGATCCATCCTGAAATGCAGTGTGATGAGCAACAGGATTATATCCATATGTGTACAAGGAAGCCCAGTTATACCAGTATCATTCAAATATATGCACCAACAGCTAGAGCCAAAGAGGAGGAAATAGAAGATTTCTACCAACTTTGCAGTCAGAAATCGATCAAACATGCAATCAAGATTCATTGATAATAATATGCGACTGGAACGCAAAAGTTGGGAACAGGGAAGAGGGATCAGTAGCTGGAAAACATGGACTCGATGAGAGAAATGAGGCTGGAGATAGAGTGATAGAGTTCTGCACATTCAATGATTTATTCATTGCAAATACCTTTTATAAGAAGCATAAACCAGGCTATACACATGTATTTCACCTGATGGTTTGCATAGGCATCAAATAGATTAAATTTGTGGAAAGACTAGCTGGAGAAGCTCAATATCGGCAGTGAAAACCAGGCCGGGTGCTGATTGTGGGACAGACCACCAACTACTCATATGCAAGTTCAAGCTGAAGTTAAGGAAAATGAAATAATATCCATGGGAACCGAAATGTGACCTTAAGTCTGTCCCACTTGAATTTCAAAACCATCTCAGGAACAGGTTTGAGGCCTTGAGCACCAATGAGCGTAGACCAAATGAGCTCTGGGAGGATATCAAGAAAATCGTCCATGAAGAATGCAAAAGATCATTACAAAGGCTGAAGAAGAAAAAAAGACCAAGATAGATGTCAGATGCGACTCTGAGTATTGCATTAGAGCGCCGAGAAACCCAAGCTAAAGGAAGAAACCAAGAAATCCAAGAGCTGAACAGAAAATTTCAAAAGGCAGCTTGGGAGGACAAAGCAAGATACCATAATGAAATGTGCAGAGAGCTGGAGTGAAAAAGTCAAAACGGCCGAACTCGCTCAGCATTTCTTAAGTTGAAGGAGTTGAAAAACAAATTCAAGCCACGGGTAGCAATATTTAAGGATACTTTGGGTAGAATGTTAAATGATCCAGGAAGTATTAAAAGAAGATGGAAAGAGTACACAGAGCCACTGTATCAGAAGGAATTGGCTGACACAGAAGAATTTCATGAAATGACATATGAGCAAGAGCCTGTGGTGATGAAGGAGGAAGTTCAAGTTGCTATGAAGAAATTGGCAAAAACAAGGCCCCAGGAGTTGACGGCATACCAGTTGATTTATTTCAACAAACAGATGCTGCCTTGGATGTGCTCACTAAGTTGTGCCAAGAAATCTGGAGGAGAGCAAGCTGGCCACCTGACTAGAAAAGATTGATATTTGTTCCCATTCCAAAGAAAGGTGACCCAACAGAGTGCAGAAATTATCGAACAACATCATCAATATCACATGCAAGCAAGATTCTCCTGAAAATTATAGAAAATGTTTGGAGCAATATGTCAGCAGAGAACTGCCAGATGTGCAGGCTAGATTTAGAAGAGGTCGTGGTACTAGGGATATTATAACTAATATTAGATGGATCTTGGCTGAAAACAGAGAATACCAGAAGAATGTCTATCTGTGCTTCATTGACTATACAAATGCTTTTGGCTGTGTGGATCACAACAAGCTATGGCTCTGAGAAGAATGAGAATCCCAGAACATTTGATTGTCCTAATGCAAAACCTCTACTTGGACCAAGAGGCAGTCGTGAGAACAGAGCAAGGAAACACTACATGGTTCAAAATCAAGAAGGGGGTGCGTCAGGGATGTATTTTGTCTCCATACCTTTTTAATCTGTGTGCAGAACAGATACTGGGCTGCACGAGAAGGAATGTGGCATCAGGATTGGTGGAAGAGTCATCAACAACCTGTATTATGCAGATGACCCAAATCTGCTTGCTGAAACTGAGGACAACCTGAAGCACTTGCTGCAGAAGGTCAAGGACTGCGGCCGTCATTATGGATTGAAGCTCATAGATTCTCATCACTGGGCCAATTGGCAGCATCAGTATGGATGGTGAAGAGATTGAGATGGTTAACGGTTTTAGTTTACTTGGTTCCACAGTCGACACCCTTGGTAACAGCTGCCAGGAAATCAAGAGACAAATTGCATTGGGAAAGTCAGTTGTGAGGGACTTCTCCAGAGTACTGAAGAGCAATGACATCAGGATGGAGACTAAGGTGCACCTGATTCAGGCTACTATACTCTTTACAATTACTTGCTTTACATTGGAGAGTTGGACAGGGACTAGGGATGATAGAAGGAGAATTGATGCCTTTGAGCTGTTGTGCTGGAGAAGAGTGTTGAATATACCATGAACTGCTAGGAGAACAGACAGGTTTGTCCTGGAGAGGGAGAAGCTGGAATGCTCCTTGGAGGCAAGGATTCTGAAGCTTCTTCTGACATACTTTGGACATGTTGCAAGGAGGGACTGGTCCTTGGAGAGGGACATCATGTTTGGGAGAGTGGAGGGGCAGCGAAGGAGAGGAAGACCCTTGATGAGATGGATTGATTTAGTGATTGGGGTGGTGGGAATGAGTGTGTCAGAGATGGCGAGGTTGGCACAGGATAGAGCGCTGTTTAAGGCTGTTGTACATTGGATCGCTATGAGTTGCAAGCGACTTGATGGCACATAACAACAACAACAGCAGTTTTAATAAGATACTATTAGTAATGCATAACTGAGAGTATGTCAGATTTATGTAGTCATATGTTTATTGATTTTGTTAAAATTTAGGTCACTTTTTTTTTAAATAATCTGCAGCATTGGCATTCTGCCATCTCAAGCATATCCTTCCTATGAAGAGCTTAGAACAGCTATGACGACTATACAAAAATCTGATGATGATGTTTATGATCTTGGCCAAAAGAGGAATGAAACCAATGGCATGCTTCAGGTAAATTGGAACCTGGATGTTAATATTGTTGGGAAAAGTACAAATTAGGAAGCAATAAAATAATTATGAAGTCATAAAGTAAGGGGTAAAAAAATAAAAGTATTGAAAAAGACATGTTAGCCATATCTGCCCTCTTTTCAAAAGCCAGATTTGACCCAGATGACCCCTTTAGGTATCTACTTTCTTTTGTAGAGGAAGCAATGAGGAAAGGGTCTTTATCAAGTATTCTTTTGTGCCTCTTCATTTTGATAGATCTAGGTCTTAGGGTTGTACTTGCCTCCAACAATAGTACTTGAATTTGGTGGGATTATAACAGGTAATATATAATAATAGTTTACATGGTAACACTTTTGCCTTTTTTTGTTCCTTAAAGCCAAAAGAGTCGTTGGTTATGTCAAGGCTTGCTGATCTTCCACAAAATTCACTTAAAGTTCAGACAATGAAAACAAGATCCATATTGAAAGAAGCTGAAAAGATTTTGAGAGGCGTACAGAACAATAAGAAAGTACTTGAAGAAAATCTAGAAGCAATTAGTCGTGCAAAAGATGGAGCTGCTGTGTATTCTTTTATCAGTAGTCTGTCAACCGATGGGTAAGATAGAATTTTGCCATCCTAAGGCTATTTTTGGAAACTGTCAATCTGTAGGCTTTCTTTCTTTTTTTTTTTAATCTGTAGGCTTTCTTAAAATTACTTTTTCTAAGCATTTCATTTTGCTTAATGTGTTTTTAGTATTTAGAAAATTGCTTTTGAAGGTGTGAATTTTATTATAGTGTTGGAATTCCAAACATTTATCTTTCATACATTAGATGAAGACTAATATTGGCCTTTCCTTTTCAGGTGTTTGAGATTGCACCTACACAGTAAATTAAAATGTAAATAAAAGTTAGGTTTGATCCAAGTCCTAGTCTCAGTACAATAAATGCTAATTTAAGAAAATAACTTTTTCTCTTTTGTAGTGAAATATCAGAGAAAATACGGATCAGAAAGACAGTAGATGATTGGATTAAAACTATTTCTGCAGAAATTCAGGTATGTCTAGGAAGAGACTGTGAATTAAGTGACTTCTCAAAATATTGATACCAATTTCTAACTATCACTTTATGATGAAAAATTAATATTTAGAAATTGGAATCAAGTTTTATTCTTGTTATATACACATCTACTTATAAATTCTGAATTTTATGCTTTCCAATATCTTATAATAGTTTAAGCTTATTTAATTAGTCCTAAGCAACTGCAGTGCAAACCCAAAGGTGTGTGATTCAAATCCAACAGCTGCTCTGCAGGAAAAGTATGCACATTCTCCTTCCATGCGATTTAGTGCTTCTGAAAACCCCCTGGAGGATCTGCTGTGGGTTGGTTCTAAATGAGTGAGTGGTATGCAACAACAGATCTCAAGTCATTGTGAATTTCAATCTTTTCTCCATCTATCTGAAATTGTAAAAAATTTAATCTTATTGGGTCCACAGTGAGTCTTGGTACCAGCAGTCAGGAGATGAGGAGACATGTTGCATTGGGAAAGTCTGGAGTTGGGGCAGTCAGGGACTTCTCCCAATTACTTAGGAGCAATGATGTCATTTGAAGACTAAGGTGTGCTTGATCCAGGCCATCATCTTTTCCCTAATTTGCTGTACATCTGAGTGCTTGACAGTGAATAAGGATGACAGAAGAATTAATGCTTTCGAGTTATGGTGTTGGAAAAGACTGCTGAATAACCCATGGATGGCCAAAAGAACAGATATGTCTTGGAGAAAGTGTACCCAGAGTGCTTCTTGGAGGCAAAGAAGACAAAGCTTCCTGTCACATACTTTTGCCATGTTAGCAGAGGCTGTTCCTTGGGAAGGGACATCATCATACTGGATGGACAGTGAAAAAGAGGAAGACCCTCAGGAGGTGGACTGACATAGTGATACAGCAGTGTTGTCAAGTATGTCTGAAATGATGAGGATGGCACAAGATAGAACCTGGTGCAGATTTGTTGTTCATAGAGCTTCCATGGGAGGGAGTTCTGGGGGCTGAGTGGTAAGGAGTTGTGCTGCCAACCTAAAGATATGCAGTTTGAATCCATCAGCTGCTCCACTGGAGAAGGATGGACAATATCCTCCCTGCAGTTTACTGCCTCTGAAAACCTTTTGGAGAGTCAACTATGTGTTGGTTCTGACTCCATGGTACTCAACAACAGTAGCAACAACTACAGGGCCTCTCTAAGTTGTACTTGACAACACTTAACAACAACAGTACCTCAAGTTGTGAGCTCTAGTGGCTGAGTGGTAAGTAATTGCCCTTCTAACACAAAATTATGCAGTTTGAAGCCATCAACTATTTCAAATGAGAAAAGATGGGCAGTCTCCTGCCATTAGATTGACTTCCACTTAAAGCCCACTGGAGCTTTGAGTCAGTGCTAACTCGATGGTACTTAACAACAACTTACGTCAAATTAGAAGAGCCCTGGTAGTGTAGGATGTTACTTGTTGTACTGCTGCTAACCGAAAGATCAGCAGTTTTGATCTGTGAGGCTTTGTGAGGGAGAAAGATGATTAATCTCTGGAAAAGATTCACAGCCTCTGAAACCAGTGAAGGGTTGCTGTGAGTTGGAATTGACTTGATCACAATGGATTTGGTTCTGAGTATCTCATGACTGAGGCAAATTGTTGAAAGGTAAATGAAATGAAAGTAATTGAGAAAAAAATTTAGCAAATGCATTTTTAAAAGGCAAGTATCTACAAAGATTTTTCAAGATAGTTGATTCAGAGGTATTGGTTTGCCAGAGTATGTAGGTAAAGTATTTAAAGGGAAAAAAGCCTGTACAAGAGTCTTAAGTTTACAGAAGTCAATTTCAAGTGGAAAATACTTCCTGATATGATTATTATATCCACAAAGCTGTTGGAATATCTTCAGATGTCAGCATTGCAAAAGTGTGGGAGAGCTGGGTTTTTTTTTTCTCCCTTAATTGACTTTATTTCTGTTACTCAAAAACCACTATGCGGTCGCCACAGCTGGAGCTTGGATCCTCTGCATGGAGACGCTGGTGTGGGTCTTTACAAATTGTCAGTGAATTGCTGGTAGGGAGGCTTGGTGAGTATCGTCTCTTTCCAGTGGCTGAGAGTCAGGTGGCTCTAGGTCTTGGAGGTGGCATCAGAGGTGGTGTTGGCGACGTTGCCTACGGTAGCTGTGCAGCTCTTGGCTGAGGTGTAGCAGTCGTTGATTCCAGCCATTAGTTCAGTTAATTCAAGTGCCCAGGCAGCTTCTTGGACATTGGGCCAAGTCGATGCCAAGACCCTAGGGTGCAGGGATGATGCACACCTGCACAGAACATCAGTGTCCAGTCATCTTCCAGGAAACTATGTGGGGCTTGCTGATCTTGTTCCCTAGTAGCTACACAGTAGGTGCAGTGGAGATCTTGGCCAGGATAATGACCCCACCAAGCCAACATGGGAATGCCTTGACCCTGCTTGGCATTTGACTGCTTCTGCAAAGGCCTGATTTTCAAGATTTCATCCCTGAGGGACATCTCCAGGAAGAAGTCAGTGATTTCAGACTCCATGATGGGCAGTGGAAATAGATAGGTCTCCTCCCAGGATTTGATCTTCATGGCTTTGACCAGACGGTCCATCTTGGTCCTCAGATTTGCCTCTTCATGCTCTTCAGTCTCTCCCATGGTCCCATTCACTGCTACCACCTGAAGCATTGCTGAAGCCTCTGCAGAAAAGCTGCGGCTCTCATCTCAGTGCCTTCCAGGCCTCTAGACCTGCCCCCTGCACCTCTTGTCATCTCCATTGGAGGTTTTCTTGGAGAACGGAGACCTCTTTTTAGAGAAGTAGTAAATTAAGAGATTTAAAAAGTTATATACATATGGGAACATAGACCAGGAGTGCAGAGATTTTTTTTTTAGTCTTTGAGATGTGACTTATATACTCGTGTGGTAGCAAGGTAACGTACCACGTTTGTTTCCACAGCAGTGAAATTGATAATGTATTTTTTAAAGTTGTGACTTAAGAATGTGGAATTGAGAATTTATCTATGATGCAACAGAAAAGTTTGATTTAAGAATCAGAAGACATAGAGTCTAATTCTGGTTGTACAGCCAAATAGCAGTTAATTCAGTCCATTGCTATGTATCCTATGAAAAATACATTTGTTTAAGCCTTCAAATGATTTTAATTTATAATTCTTTCAGAGTTTTTTTATGAAATTGTTTACTTTTCAGAGGACATTTCATTTTTAAAAAATAATTTTAATAAGCATTTACAGAGATTTTGGATTTCCATTCATTCATTGCTGCACTTTTCTCCCCGCCCATCTCTCCACCCCCCCTGTTAGCTCCTCTCTTTCAAAAGTAAAAGAAACACTCCTTCCCTGGTACACAATCCCCCCGCGCCCCTCCCACCACCCCAAGTACAGACCACTATGCAACCTTAATTGTGGACTCCTGTGATAACCATAAGACCCTATCATACATCGCTTTTAAATTATTCACTCACTCATCTGTTTCAGTGCAGTATACACGATTTATCCAGTTTTTCTCAGTCTTACCCCAACCCTGATATCAGTCCCATTTTACAACAGTGGCACCATGCAATATTTGTCCTTTTGCATCTGAGATATTTCACTCAGCATAATGTCCTCCAGGCTCACCCATTTTGAATAATATTGCATGAGTTCCTTGTTTTTCAATGCAGTTAGTATTCCATTGTGTGAATATACCACAGCTTCTCTATCCATTCGTTTGTTGACATTTCATTTTTTAAAAACATTTTTGCTGTACTATGATTCACGCATCAAGAAGTATAAAAAATTTCTAGTGGAAAAGTTGCCCTCTTGTCCCTCATCTTTCTATCCCCTGTTCCGTAACATACTAGTCTTTTTAGATTTTGCTGTCCTTCCATAGAATTTTTATTCAAAATTTGTGACTTCAAAGGTACTTAGCCCAGTCAATAATTTTGACTCATGGTACAGGGTTTACCAGAAATGTTATTTCCCAAACTACTTTATCACTAGGGTGGCCGTAAGTCCCAGTTATGCCTTTTGTCCTCCTGTCATTAACAGCACCCTCTTGCACTCTCAGAAGTGTCCTAAATTTGAGTGATAAATTACATGGTCACATTACATCTCACAAATTCTGCCCTAATCTCAGATTCTCCATTTGGCCCATGTCCAGGTATGGCCTGTTCTTCCCACATTGTCTTCCAGAGTACCATACTTGTGGAGTTTTAATTCTCTTCAGAGCTATAAGCAGTAGTGGTGAGAAAGTATAGCTTAGAAACCCAACTTTTCTAATTTAGGAAAGCAGTTTCTTTCCTAAGGCTTTATTTAGCTCTGGTTTCCATTTGAGGTTAACAAATTTTTTTAAAGTGTTTTAATGATTTTTGATCTTTCTTTCACTCTGCTGAACCATGCCACTGAAGTCACAAATTATCCCTTTGGTAAAATTTTATAATGAAGGGAAAAAAGCCAGTTCTTTATAAAGCCAATTATTAGTCTCTATTTTTTTGTAACAGCAAAATAAAAAAGAAATTATGATTTTTTTATATGAAAGCATTGCTACTTAGATATATTAGAACTAATTTTTATTTTGATAATGTTAAGGATGAACTGGCAAGAAAAGATGATGAACAGAAGAGATTTGATCTGAAGAATCAGAGGACCAAGAAAACTCCGAATATAAGTAAATATATTAAAACCAACACCCAAGACAAAACTATAAATAATTCTGTAATTCCAAGAAAACCAGGTCAGAAGCAAAAGGAGGAACGTTTTAGAAATTCATCCACGAGAGACATGCCTGCTTCAAACTTACAGAAAGAGAAAAAAAACGTAAGACTCTAATTTGGCTTTCTGGTATGATACCTTGTTCTGAAGCATTTCTATTTATATACAAATAATCAAGTGAATATTAAAAATATGAAAATGTGAAGGACTGACATGTGTAAACTCTCTTTAAAATGTTGGCATTGGTGTTAAATGAGTATTCATAAGGCCAGAGATGCTGAACAAAAACACACACAGTTCCTATCTTTTGAAAATGATAGGATTTTAGTTATGACAGATGTATTTAGAGAACATCTTATCTACAAGGAAATTCTCTTGTGAACACTACACAGTTGTAATTTTCTTTGTATGTGTATGTATAAAATGTATTCTTTTAATTTAGCACCTAAATGTCTGTGCCTAGGGAATATGAGGCATAGACTTAAGTTCTATCAAAGAAATTTTTTAGCTGCTTTAGCTAGACAGTGACTTTCTTAAAAGGAAACATGGGGTTTTAAGGAAGATAAGTGAGTCCTCTAATTCAGTGCTTAGCACTTAGTACATGTTCAGTATGTGTTACTAGGTTATGAAAAATAGACCTGATTTATTATTTTTATTGTTCTTGGACGTTTAAAATGTATGTCTTTATACAGTACATTTAAGCACCATACTTAGTAATGTAAGACAATATGCTTAGTAATATAAGACCTATAATGTACCTTAGATGAATGACTTTTATATTTGACCTGTGTTTTTTGAATGCATATTTGAGTACTACATCTAGAATTACTTGTTTTTTTTTTAATTTTAAATTGTTGTTGTTATTCTGTGCCATGGAGTGGGCCTGTGACTCATAGCAACCCTACATACAACAGCCCTAAACCCTGCTCTATCCTGTGCCAATCTTACTGTCTACAACACACCTGTCCCCATTCCCATTACTCCAGGCACTGAATCCTTACATCTCATTGAGGGTCTTCCTCTCCTGCACTGTCCCTCCACCCTCCTAAGCATGATGTCCCTCTCCAAGGACTCATCCCACCTAACAACATATCCAAAGTATGTCAGACGATGCTTCAGAATCCTTGCCTCCAAGGAGCAGCCTGGATTCACCCTCTCCAGGATGGACTCATTTGTTCTCCTAGCAGTCCATGTTATATTCAATACTATTCTCCAGCACCACAGCTCAAAGGCATAATTTCTCCTATATCATAGTTATTGTCCAGCCTTCCTTGCATAGCAAGTAATTGCAAAGACCATGGCCTGTATCAGATGCACCTTAGTCTCCAGACTGACATTGTTGCTCTTCAGTACTTTGGAGAAAACTCTAACAGCAGACTTTCCCAGTGCAATTTGTCTTTTAATTTCCTGGCTGCTGGTATCAAGAGTGTTGATTATAGAGCCAAGCAAACTGAAGCTGTCAACAATCTCAATCTCTACACTGTCTGTCATGGTGCTGCCAGTCGGCCCAATGGTGACAATCTTTGTTTTCTTGATGTTGAGCTTCAATCTTTATTGAAGGCTGTAGCCCTTGACCTTCTGCAGCAAGTGCTTCAGGTCCTCCTCAGTTTCAGCAAGCAGGGTTGTGTCATCTGCATAATGCAGATTGTTGATGATTCTGCCTCCAATCCTGATGCCATACTTCTCATAGAGCTAGCCTCCCTGATAATCTGTTCCACATATAGATTGAAAAGATATGGAGAATAGGACACATCCTTGGCACACACCCTTCCCAATTTTGAACCATGCAGTGTTTTCTAGCTATGTTCTGACGACTGCCTCCTGGTCCAAGTTGTTTCACATAAGCACAGTCAGGTGTTCTGGGATTCCCATTCTTCTCGAAGTCAGCCACATTTTGTTGTGAACTACACAGTTAAATGCTTTTGCATAGTCAAGGAAACACAGACATTCCTCTTGTATTTTCTGCTTTCAGCTAGGATACATGTGACATTAGCTATAGCATCTCTAGTGCCATGGTCTCTTCAAAACACAGCCTGCACTTCAAGCAGTTCCCTGTTGACATGCTGTTCCAGTTGTTTTTGTATACTCCTCAGCAGAATCTTGCTTACTTGTGATATCAGTGATACTGTTCGATAATTTCCACACTCTGTTGGATCACGTTTCTTTGGAATGGGAACAAATACAGATCTTTTCCACTCAGTTGGCTAGGTGGTTGTCCTGCAGATTTTTGTGCATAACTTGGTAAGCACTTCCAGGGCAGCAGTCATTTGTTGAAATATGTCAGTCAGTATTGGCTTACATAAAAAAGTTGTACACATTGCTTTTCTTTTTTTATATATAATTTTCTTTTCATTGTTGAAGACTTATTTTAACCCCAACCCTCCCCTACCCCGCAATGCACCCTTTGTTCCAGGTTTTTGTCATACGTATAATGCCTAATCATAGAATCTTTTTGGAAAGTTCTTCCCCTCATCTGTGTTCTAATGCAGTGTTCATTATCTAGCCACTCTTTTTCCATTCTCTTCCCAGCTGCCCCATGTCTGTCCTATTTTATAACAGTAATGTTATGCAGTGTTTGCCTTCTGTGACTGAGATATTTCCTCTGCATAATGTCTTTCTCACTTCCCCATATTGTATAATGGTTTATGAGTGCATGGTTTTTCAGTGCTGCATAATATTCCATTATATGACTGTACTATAGTTTTTCTTTCCATTCGGTTTTTGATAGGCACTTGAGTTGCTTTGATTTCTTTCCTTTTGTGGATAGCACAGCAATAAACTGAGTTGTGCCTCTGGTTTCTTTAGGGTATATTCCCCATAGTGTAATTGATAGGTCAAATAAATGGTTATTTCTATTTTTAGCTTTTTTTTTAAATAACATTTTAAATTTTAATTGTGATTTTAATAAAAATTTAAAGAAAAGTTAGATTTTCATTCATTGTTGCACAATTTACCCCCTCTTCTTCCCTCCTCCCAGTTCACTTTCTTTTTTTAATATTCATCTATTGTTGCACAACTATTCCCTCCCAAGTCCTCTTTTCAGTGTACCTCTTATTCTGAGCTGTTGTCATACATATAATGCGCTATCATATATTCCTTTTAAACATTCCTTTTCCTTCATCAGTTACAGTGCAGAATTCGTTATTTATCCCCTCTTTTCCTAGTGTTCCCTCAACCACCATGTCGGCCCTGTTTCGTAACAATGGTGTTTTGCACTATTTGTCCTTCTGTGACTGAGATAGTTCACTCAGCATAATGTCCTCTGTTGGAAGCAGGAGTGCCATGACTTACTAAATAACATGATTCTGGAAATTCTATGAACTTTGAGAAACGCTATTTATAGAAAGGCTTCAGGTCTTTTGTTCATAGGATCACTATGAGTTGTGCTTAACTCTGCGGCAGTCAACAACAACAACAACAGCGACAGCATCCTCTAAGAAAGTGCTAGACCACCTTCCATGGTGACTATACCATTTTACCTTCTCACCAGCAGTGAATAAGAGTTCCAGTCTCTCCACAACCTCGCCAGCATTTGTTGTTTGCTGGCCCTGTTAAACTTTGCTGTTGTTGCTGGAGGGAGATAATATCTCATAGTTGTTTTGATTTGCATCTCTCTGAAAGCTAGGAATTTTGAACATTTTTTTCATGTAGTTATTTGCCATCTGAATGTCTTCTTTGGTGAAATGTCTGTTTATATTCTGTGCCCATTTTGTAACTGAGTTGTCTACCTTTTTCTTGTTGAGGTACTATATTCAGAATTTAAGGGTCCCTTAAAAGAGAGAATTTTTCTCATGCGATCAGTAGTGTGTGTAAACTAGAAAAGGGAAGCTTTAGGAAAATGAAGTAAATACATGTTAGATAACTGTTTTCTTGGTGAGTTGAATAACTCTGCCTGTTTACATAGGCACTTTTGGAAGCAACCACAGTGAAGCAAGGCGAGAATTATGTGTCACAAATTTATGGAAAACCTATTTATCGGGGCCATCGCAGCACTCTTAAAAAAGGACCATATCTCAGGTTTAATTCTCCTTCTCCTAAGTCCATACCACAGAGACCAAAAGTGATAGAACAAGTTAAAGGTAAGAAGCCTAATTATTTTTAATAAACTTTATTTCTTTTGTTTCAGTTTAATATTTTAAGTTTCTTTTTAATATATTTTTATTGTTAATAAATGCAATTCTATTTATTTAATGCCTGACCCACTTCCACTGGTTTCTAAGGCTGTAAATCTTAAAGAGAAGGCTGCTTCATTTTTCTCCTGTGGACTAGCTGAAGGATTCAAACTTCCACAGACAACCAGGGCTCCTTATATAATGCTCAGAGATAAAAGAAGGACATCTTTTTGTGAAAGATTGGAAGACTAGAATTTAAAGGTGAAGACACAAGGAAAGTAATGTAGAATTAATTGCTGGTTTCAGGTAAACCATTGGCAAAGACCAGAAATTTAGGTAATAACAGTTGAGATGTTTCAGGAGGTGTTTCAGAAGAATACTGGACATACTCTTTTATGTCAAGACATTTGCAAGAGAGCTATCAGATTATTTGACTGAATGAGATCCATATTTGTATCCATGCCACAGAAAGATAATCCAGCAGAATTCATGGATTACAGAATAATTATCATTATTATCATACTCAAGGTAAACAATGCTGAAGATAATTCGAAAAAGACTGAAGGAGATCATTGACAGAGAACTGCTAACAATTTAGGATTGATTCAGAAGAGGACATGGAACAAAGGATATTATTGCTAATGCCAGGGAGATCTTGGTTGAAAGCAGTTGCTACCAGAAAGATGCTTAGTATATTTTATTACTTATGCAAACACTTTGTCTAGAATACAGTAAATTTTGGAGAATGTTGTGAAAATGAGAATTCTAGAATACCTAAATTGTGCTTTCATAGAATCTATGCATTGACCAAGAAGCAGTTGTTTGAACAGAACAGGAGGGTAGTACATAATTTAAAATCTGGATTGTATCCTTATTTAATCTGCATGTTGAGCAATTAATCTCAGAAGCTGTCCTATATTAAATAGAAAAATTCAAAATCAAGATTAGAGGAAAACTCATCAGTGACCTTCCATATGCAAATCACACATCCTTGTCACTTGAAAGCATAAAGTATTTACTGATGCAGCTTAAAGACTATACATAGTCTTCTGTGTGGATTACACCTCAACATAAACAACAGAAATCCTAAGAACTGGACCAGTAAACAACTTTATTGTAAGTGGAGTAAGATGGAAGTTAAGGTTTTAATTTTGCTTGGATCCATGATCAGTTTCCCTGGAAGTACTCATCAAGACATCAAACAATATACTGTTTTTTGTTGTTGTTATGTGCCGTTGAGTCGCTTGCAACTCATAGCGACCCTATGTACAACAACCCTAAACCCTGCTCTATCGTGTGCCAATCGCACTGCCTCTTACACACCCATCTTGATTACCCCAGTCACTGAATCAGTCCACCTCATAAAGGGTCTTGCCCTCCTGCGCTGTCCCTCCACCCTCTCAAGCATAATGTCCCTCTCCAAGGACCAGTCCCTCCTTACAACATGTCCTGAGTATGTCAGATGGAGCCTCAGAATCCTTGCCTCCAAGGAACAGCCCAGTTTAACTCTCTCCAGGATGAATCTGTTTTCCTGGCAGTCCATGGTGCATTCAGTACTCTTCTCCAGCACCACAGCTCAAAGGCATCAATTCTCCTTCCATCCTCCCTAGTCATTGTCCAACTGTCTGATACATAATAATATATTACAGAAGTCAAATCTGCTGCAAGGACCTCTTTAAAGTGCTGAAGAGTAAGGATGTCAGTTTAAAGACTAAAGTATACCTGACCCAGGTCATGGTATTTTCAGTTTCTTCAAATGCGTGTGAAAGTTGGGAAACCAAACAATTGAAGGTTTTTAAATGTATTTGAATAACCACAAATGCCTTTCATCAATAATTTAATGGTAGAACTGAATGAGAGCCTGTGGTACTTGCTATGTTTGCTGCCTGGAAGGCTCTGCTCCAGATTCCTGCACAGGCTGTTCTCTCAGTTCATTTGGGTGTTTACTTTTAGGTGATAGTTAGCTCCTCATAGAGATTGACCCTGGCCACCCTATCTCCTGTCCCTCTGCCCCTTACATTACTTTATGATTCTTCATTGCATTTTTGACTGACTTACGTACTTTTGCTTGATTAACTTTCTTAATAGACTTTGAGTTCTGTTAGGATAATTTGTTTACCACAGTATTCTCTGTATCTCAGTATTTTCTATATCTGGAATAATTCCTAGCACATATTAACCACTGGGGGGTGGATGCATTTTAAATAAGCATTTATAGAATGAATGAATATCAGACGACCACACAAACATAAATGTGGTGTTAAATGGTTAATATTTTCTTTTGGGATCATAAGTAGAATAAAACTGTTTATAAAAATAAATCAACATGTGTGTCACCTTGATGGCAGTAAGTTTCGGTTTTATTGAGAGTTTAACCTTATTATATTGGCTTTTTATTATTATATAGAGATTTTCCTGTGAAGAAAAAGTTACTGTATTTCTAGATGACCATATAGTTGAAATTCAAACAATTTTTTTAAAAATCAAACAATATTTTAATTAATATCTACCGTTGATTATTTTAGGCACTAAAGTAAAATCAATAAGGACACAAACTGACTTTTATGTGACAAAACCTGTGAAGATGAATTCTAAAATAGAGCATTCTCTTACTGCCCTGCCTCAGGCCGATCAGCAGCAGCAGTATCTGTTTAGTCCAAGCAGAGAAATGCCTTCTGCTCATTCAGGTACACTAGAAGGCCATCTCATTCCTATGGCAATTCTCTTAGGTAAGGTCCTATAAAATACATTGGGTAAAATAGAAATTAAACATCAAAATGTATTTTATTTATGAATAGTGATTGTTGTTGAGTCAAGGACGACTCATAGTGACCCTGTGAACAAAAGACCTGAAGCCTTTCTATAACTATTGTCGTTTCTCCAAGTTCATAGAGTTTCGAGAGGCATGTGGTTTAGGAAATTGATGCCACTCCTGCTCCCACACCTGTCTTAAACTGGAGCTATCCACCATGGGCAACCACAGTGGCACAAGGTTCATCATCACAGCAAACCCAGATTACTTCAGTACAGCAAATTGACAGAAGAGTGCTGTATGATTTAGAAGAATGTTCCTTTACCTGAAGGCCCAACATACTTTTAAATACAAGGGTCCCCCAGGACGGCTTGTTGACTCTAAACAAGAGGCTTAAATAAAAATCTAACCAAACATTCCACACAACCACAACCAAAACAGGAGCGCCCATCTTAATTGTAATAGAACTTTCAAAATGGTACAAACATAATAGTCACACCTATCTTTTTATTTGTGGGAAGCACCTGTTTAGTTGTCTTAACACTGTGTGATAGCAATTTCTGAAAGGATAGCTTTTTGCTATACTCTCACAGAAAATATTCTTTTAATATTTTTATTTTGCTTTTAAGTGAAATGAAATTTTTAAAATTGATGTATTATGTGCATTTATAGTGATTTCGATTGACTTATTAATATCACTATATATTAAAGTACTTTAATGAACCTTTTTAAAACAGAAATATTCTTGATTTATCTTTGGTAGCCAAAATTTTAGGTGGATGTGTATTCTGTTTACTTATGTGAGGTTTCTAATCACACTAAAAATTAAACAAGTCATTTTGCCCTCACACTAGCTCATCAAATCTAGTTAGCTTTTTATTATTATTATTTTTTATGTGTGTACTGTCAAATCAGATCTGACTGGTACAGGAGACGATTGTCCCTCCTTCTTCAGCAGAGCATCTGGTGGATTTGAACCACATACCTCTGGGATTGCAGTAAATCTAGTTAGCTTTTAAAAATTTTTATCCCTGCTTGTACATCCTTAATTTTGATAGATCATTTAAGTATGGTTTAGAACATGTAAGATTGTATCTTTTTTTTATGTTAATTGTTGTTTTGTTTGATACCATTGGGTCTGAACCAGTTTACAGCTGACCCTGCAGAGGGTTTTCAGAAGCACAGATTGCCTACCTTTCTCCCTCAGAGCAGCCATTGGATTCAGACTGTAGTGCAAATCCTTACCACTAGGCCACCAGAATTCCCTTATATGTGAATAGACTATCAAATTGTATGTTCAAAAGTACCTTTCACTGGGTTTGCATACAATAATGAATGTATTATACTTCATACATTCTTATATATTTTATATAATTACTATTGATCTATGCATATTTTAATACAAAAATATAGACCCTTTAGTACTTTCAGACTAAGGCAAAATCCATCCTGGGTGCCAGGGGTATATAATTCTAAACAGTTTCCACATATTAACTCATTAAATTCACCTTCTAACATGTTATTATACTAATTTTATAGATAAACTGAGGCATAAAATGGTTAAGTGAAGTGCTTAACGCCACAAAGGTAGAGTTTAGCAGGATTCAAACCCATACATCCTGACTTTAGAGTCTGTGCTTTGAAGAAATATCCTATATTGTCCTGCTTTATTTTAAAATTTAGGAAACACATGAAGGGTCTCAAGTGGAACCTACTGCATTTTTTAATAGCTATGGTAGTTGCCACGTTGATCGGCTACAAGCTTTTGGGAGTGAGGCACTAGTGTTTTATTGTTAGTTTTACAATTTCTGTGTAGAAGTTTATTTCATTTTATAATTTGGGATTAAAAAATTAATAAAATAATGCAGTATGCTTTAGTCTTGACTCCGCATTTACAAACTGGCAGGACCTTGGGCAAATGACATTATTTTTTACTATGTTATTATATTAAATATTATTGTTGTTATGTGCCGTCGAGTCGCTTGCGACTCATAGGGACCCTATGTACAACAGCCCTAAACCCTGCTCTGTCCTGTGCCAATCTGTCTCCGACACACCTGCCACCAGTATACCCCAGTCACTGAATCAATCCACCTCATAGAGGGTCTTCCCCTCCTGCGCTGTCTCTCTACCCTACCAAGCATGATGTCCTTCTCCAAGGACTGTTCCCTCCTTACAACATGTCCAAAGTATGTCAGATGGAGCCTCAGAATCCTTGTCTCCAAGGAGCAGCCCGGTTTAATCCTCTCCAGGATGTATCTGTTTGTTTTCTTAGCAGTCCATGGTACATTCAATACTCTTCTCCAGCACCACAATTCAAAGACATCAATGTGTGTGTGTATATATATATATTACATTGCATTATACCTCTTATTAGAGTATGCTCATTAAAATACAAATAATATCACTACCCTCTAAGCTTTTTTTTGAGAATTAGCACATGTGAAGTTTCTGTATACACAAGTGCCTAATAAATGCTTGATCCTGCTAAAATGATGATATTGTGAGTATGCAGACAGTATTGATAATATAGAGAAGGATGATTCCCAAATACTGCTTTCCTGTCATAGGAGAGTTTAGCCCCAGAGATCTAGGCAGTATATGTAATTTTCCAATTTATGTGTGAAATAATTGACTCATTTTCTTCCCCAAACTACTTAGGTCAGACCCAGAGTAATAGTGATTCCATACCAGCTGCTGGAGTAATTATAAACAAGTCTCACCCTGTAACAGTGACTACAACTATTCCACCATCATCTCAAAAACCAGAAACTGGCATAAAGAAACCTAACGTAGCAGTTGTAGAGATGAAATCAGAAAAGAAAGATCCTCCTCACCTTACTGTACAGGTATGTCAGGGTGCATGAGCAGAAAATTTTAAGGGACATTCTTTGGTCTAGTATTAGTACTTAAAATCTGTTGCATTGCTTCATGAAAACATTGCTTCTGCTCTGTCTTGTTAATGTGATTGCATTAATTTTGTTCTACATAATTTAAGCAGTTTTTGGTTGAAATTTAGAATAATTTTGATGTCCGAAAAAACAAATTATTTATAAAAGTTAAAGGATATTGTTACAGGTACATATAGTAATATTTTATAAATAGCGTCTTTTAACTGAAACGAATGAAATGGAAGGATTGTTTTAAATAATGCATGTAATACTTAGTAACCAGTGTGGACAAAAGATCAGTTTTAGATTCTACTTTCTTCCCAGATAGCAATGAATTTCAAACAGGCATAGGCTAAAGTATAATTATAAAATGTAAAAACATCAAGAAGAACTTTGTAAGCACATCAATATGAAAGAAAACTTAAAAAAATACAACAAAACATGGAAGAATGAAAAGATAATGAAATAGAACTTTTTTATAAAATATAAAACTAATCTATGAGGGGAAAAAGCCCTTTGATACGATGTTGTGTGCTGAGTTGGAATATACTCTCCAGCAGATTTTTAGAGTCAATAAATTATAAGTGAAGAAATTGCCCATCTTTCTCCCATGGAGCTGCTGGTGGATTTGAACGATGTGTCTTTGGCATGACGGCACAATTCCTTACCACTAAGTCACAAGAGCTCCTAGATATGATAAAGAAATTTGAGTCTACAACATGCAAGGAGATCATATAAAAGGAATGTATTAATTATGGGGTTAATTTTTAAATAGGAACATCTATCTACATACAAAAAGAACCTGAGGATGTGCAGAGGGAGGGAGGGTTAATCATGGAGTTGTATAATTTGACAGGTTGGGGAGTGAGGGAAATTGGAATAATCTGTTCTGGAAAACAATGCATTCAAATTTTGTAAATAAACTAATGTAATAAATTTTTTAAAAAAACCACTCAAAACAAACAAACTGTGCCTATGCAAACACAGAAGAATTCAAAGAACCTGAATGCGAATGTACAGAGATGAGGAAGTGGAATTTCTAAGCAAGGAAATGGAATAATTTAAGTCTTGCTAGTAATCAAAAGCAAGCAGGATGCTGCTGAAAATTATCCAAAAATGACTGAAACAGCACATCACCACAGAACACAGATGTGCAGGCTGGGTTTAGAAGAGGCCGTGGTACTAAGGATATTATAGCTAATGTTAGATGAATCTTGCCTGAAAGCAGAGAGTACCAGAGCAAAGTCTGTCTGTGTTTCATAGACAATGTAAAGTCATTTGACTCTGTGGATTAAAATAAACTGTGGCTGACTCTGAGAAGAATGGGAATCTCAGGACACTTGATTGTGCTTATTTGACACCTATACTTGGTCCAGGAAGCAGTCATCAGAACAGAGCAGGGAAACTACATGGTTCAAAATTGGGAAGGGTGTACACCAGGGATGTGTCCTATCTCTGATACCTTTAAATCTATATGCAGAACAGATTATTTGGTAGGCTGGGCTCTATAAGGAGGAGTGTGGCATCAGGATTAGAGGAAGAATTATCAACAACCTGAGATGACACAACTCTGCTTGCTGAAACTGAGGAGGACCTGAAGTGCTTGCTACAGAAGGTGAAGGACTACATACAGCCTTCAATATGGATTGAAACTCAATATCAAGAAAGCAAAGATTCTTACCACTGGACCAATTGGCAGCATCACGCTAGATGGTGAAGAGATTGAGATTGTTAACAGCTTTAGTTTGCTTGGCTCCACAATCAACACACTTGGTACTAGCAGCCAAGAAATCAAAAGTCAAATTGCATTGGGAAAGTTGACTGTCAGGGACCTCTCCAGAGTACTGAAGAGTAATGATGTCAGTCTGGAGACTAAGGCGCGCCTGATCCAGGTTACGTGTCGTTGATTACCATTGAGTTGAGCACGACTCATAGTGACCCTGTGAACAAAAGGCCCGAAGCCTTTCTATAACTGTTGTCATTTATCAGAGTTCATAGAGTTTCTAGAGACATGTTGTTTAGGAAGTAGATGCCACTCCTGCTTCCAAGATCCAGGCCATCTTCACAATTATTTACTATGCATCAGAAAGCTGGACACTGACTAGGGATGGAAGAAAGAAAATTGATGCCTTTGAGCTGTGGTGCTGGAGAGGAGTATTGAATATACATACTATGGACCACCAGGAGAATAAACAATTTTGTCCTAGACAGAATGAAACCAAGATGCTCTTTGAAGGCAAGTATTCTGAGGCTTTGTCTGACATACATACATTGGACGTGTTACAAGGAGGGACCAATCAATCCCTGGAGAGGTACATCATGCTTGGGAGGGTGGAGGGACAGCGCAGGAGGAGAAGACCCTCGATGAAGAGAGGCAGACCCTTGATGAGACGGATAGATTCAGTGACTTAGGTAATGAGGATAGGTGAGTCAGAAACAATAAAGTTGGCACAGGATAGAGCAGGGTTCAGGGCTGTTGTATATAGGGTCGTTAGGAGTCACAATTCAACAGCACACAACAACAAGAAGTACAGTAGTCAGAATCTACTCTGGTGACCTACTAGCGAGGAGTTGTGCTGCCAACCTAAGGACACATAATTTGAATTCACCTGCTGCTCTGAGGGAGAAATGTGAACAGTCCTTTCCTGTGCAATTTATACTCTATGAATTCATGCTGGAGGGTCAACTATAGGTTGGCTCCAACTTAATCACACATAACAATAGTAATCAAATTAAAGAAAATTAAGAACACATTAATGTACCTCAATTTTAAACAGTTAAAATAAAAGAAGTAAAAAGAATTTAATTTTTGTAAACATTGGCATACATGTATAATTTTTTATGCATTTGATAATGTAAGTAGAACATACAGAAATATTTCCTTTGACAGTAATTTACTAAGTCTTAAAATATTCATACCATGACTCAAGGTGCCTAGTACTTGTGTCTCTAGATTATTGTCAAATTGAAAATTTAGAAGAAACTATATATGTATTTATAAAGAGTTTTATCATAGTAATATACATGCTAATGAAAAAGTTGGAACATTGTGAAAAATCAACAGAAAATGATTAATTATATACTTCTTGAATATTATACACTATTTTAGAATATAATTATCAAGTCTATAAATGGCAGCATGCTAGGTGTTTATAATTTAGTAACAGATTAAGAAACCAGGAAAGGAAATTTTAATGTTTTTTTACCTGTGCACCAATCTAAAGGATTTTATGTGTTGCCCCTTTATTTTAAAAATTTCACATACATGTGTTTGTCATAGACAAATCTACTTCATAATAATGAATCAAAGGACATGTTTTGTTTCCAGCATACAGAATGACAAATATAAATAATGAGCATTATTTTTTATTTATTTTAGGTTTTACCCAATGTAGACATCGACAGTGTTTCCAATGGTAGTGTTAATGTCAGCACACCTCTTCCTAGTCCCAAGGAAGTATCTTCTCCTTTACAAAACTGGATAAAGGTAATTTCCAGAATTGTATTATAGTTATAGAAATATCTATCAAAGTTTACTAATTTTATTCTAGGTACAACAAAAAGAAAATAAAAATCTTTGCAAATAGAACATTAAATAACAAACTTTTTAACGTATGATGGAGAGAATGAAATTGTAAAGGATTTCATTCTCCTTGACCAACAATCAATGATCATAAAAGTAGAACTCAATCAATGACTAGTACATTTACAGACCCATAGACCAGTGGAACAGAACTGAGAGAATTTCATCACGCTCATAGCCCTGGTGGCCTACTAGGTAAGGGTCAGCTGTGAGTTGGTTCTGACTCAGTGACATATAAGAACAACAGTATCTAATGGTCTGAGCATTTCTTCATGTGTTTGTTGGCCATCTGGATGTCATCTTTGGTTGAAGTGTCCTCTGCCCATTCTGTAATTGGATTGCCCTTTTGTTGTTTAGGTTTTAGAGATTATTCCCGTAACAAATATGCAAACATAAAACCATGGTAAGATACCATCTTACCCTGGTAACACAATAAATGGTGATGAAGGAATGGAGAGATTGGAATGCTGCTAGTAGAAAACAGTAGTACTTCCTTAAAAAGTTGGAAGAATACCATTTCAAATAGCAATCCTACTACTAAGTGTAGATCCTAAAGAAATAACAGCTGTGACATGAACATATGCACACCTACATCATTGCTAAATTATATTTATAGTAGTAAAGAGATAGAAACAACTCAGGCAACTATTAAAAAAACAAAATTCAAATTCATTCTTACCACATCAGAACTGACTCATAGCTGACCCTTCAGCAGGTTTTCAGAGGCTTTAAATAATAGAAGGAGATGGCCCATCTTCTCTCTTGGAAAGCTGGTGGATTTGAACCACCAGCCTTTGGCTGGCAGTGGAAAGCCTTACTGACTAGGCCTCCAGAGTTTCTAAGTGACCATTAATAGATAAGTAAATAACTCTGGTTTATACACACAGTGGAATAGTACATACTGTACTATATTATACTGTACTATACTATAACTTTACTATATTACTATGACTATTACTATACTAATATACTAATACTATACTAATATACTAATACTGTACTAATATTCTACTAATATTATACTATACATACTATACTATCTCATCCTGGGTCTTCCTCTCCTGTGTTGACCCTTCAGCCTTCCAAGCATGATGTCCTTCACCAAGGACTGGGCCCTCCAGGCCACATACCCAAAGTATGTGAGATTTGTTGTTGTTGTTATGTGCTGTCCAGTCGCTTGCGACTCATAGCGACCCTGTGTACAACAGCCCTAAACTCCGCTCTGTCCTGTGCCAATCGCAC